TTACAAAGAAAGAAAAAACGAGAATAAAAGAAAAAGAAATTGAACAAACGTTTTACTTTGTAATACTCAAACAAAAATAAATTTATCAAATACTACTAACCAGTATCACAAATAAATTTCACATTATCGAAATTTTAAATCGCCGCCTAAACTTATTTTCAAAGGATAATTGCAGCTAAATATTGTTATAGATTGAACTGCATAGTTGCTCATTACAATGCACTTTTTAGTACTGATAAAAACAGTTTCGCAGTGACACTCAGTGAACATTCGTATAAACAGAATAACAACAGTCCGTAGTTTAGGTTTCGGCGATGTTGGCCGGTAAACGCAATTTATCTGTTGAGCAATTACAGCGACAGTAGTTTTTGATATTAGTGACTATAGCATTATTTTTGTTGAAGTATGTGGTTGAGTATAGGTTTTGTTAGTATCTACTTAATTTATGCAATTGACGCTGGTAGTGCTACTGTATCAGCAATAATGTAGCAGCAAGTTTTCTTCCTCTCCAATTAGTTGTCTTATCATTTATAGAGTAAGGTTCTTTTCCAATCGCTCAGAAGTAATGTGGCAGACATACTCGTTAGCGTAGCAAAGTTGAAAATATTATTGTTACTTTTTTTTTTCTCTAAAATATTTTTCTTTAAAAGAGACCAATTAGGAGAATGCTATTATTATTTGGCTGCTGACGCTTCATTATGTCAACTTGTTATGTGAAAATAGTTTCAGATATTTCCGCAGTATTTCTTTGTATCTTGATGCTTATCATTGTGAGATTGTTTCTCACAGGATGCTTTGTTTTTCAAAAAAATGTTCTTTGTATTTTATTATTTTGTAAGTCTCTTGTTTGAAACATCAAAGTCGTTTCGTTTTGGTGAATAAACTATTATTTTTGAAGGTGAACCATTTGAAAGAAGTAGAACAAAATCTGTGCTATATTTGAATAGTTTGTGTAATAGATTGCAGAAATAAAACTTAGACAGTGGTCGAAGTACAGTGCTGTAAATGCTATTCTCCAGTTTTTTGAGGATTTTTTTTTCTTCGCGTTTATTGACCGTTCTTTTATTAGGAGCATTCTTATTTCTTGGCACAATATTTGGAACTTATTATTGGTTTATAGTTGGTGAGTAATGACGGCTGCGGGTCCGTTTCGGAGTCCTTCCGGTGAGGTGAAGGATAGCCGTGGTGGACATTCAGGAGGTCGTGGTGGTTTTCGTGGTGGCAAAAGAGGCGGTTCCTTTCGTGATCGAGGTGGTGCTGTTTCGCCTCGCGGTAGAGAAGTCTGGAGAGGTTCTCCACGAGGAGGACGCGGTGGAGCTCATCTCCGTGGACAAGGACGGGGTGCATTTTCAGAAGGACGAAATAATAGGAAATTTGAAAGAGGTAAAGAGGGAAGATTTAATCTTTTGTCAGACGCAGTAAGCGCATGCTGGAGGCTGCAGAACAATTTTTGGCAAACTTTCATTGTTTTAGCGGTCAGTTTTTAAGGCCGAGTTAGACGAATTCAACTTGTTTTGTTTAAGGTGGTCGAGGAGGGAGAAGTTCATTTGGTGGTGAATACAAACGGCTTGGTGATAATGTTTTTGGTGAAAAGTCGAAGAAAAAACTCAAGTTTGATGATGATGACGATGACGAAGAGGAAGAACAGAGTATGTTAAAGTAAATTGAAACTGAAAGTTGTGAAATGTTTGTGTATGGGTTTTGGTTATCAGTTTTTCTCGATCCGTGCGCTGAAGTTCTTTTTTTTTTTTACAGTAAAATTGAATAAAAAGCCGACGAAGATAAGTGAACAGCCAGGAAGTGTTCCAGGATCTCTTAAAAAGAAAGGGAAACGTACGGTGGCAGGGCTTAATAAAAGCAAGGTGAGTGTGAATTTGTGACGGCTAAGTTGTATACAAGAGGTCTGAACACACGAGTTTTTTCGTCTGGGCAAAACCCTGGCATTTTAGTATATCCAGTTTTTTGTTTTCAGTTCATTGCATTTTACAGGAGTCTGAAGTAGTTAGTATGGCGAAGATCTCATCAAGTAAGTCTTGCATCGCTTACGCTTTTAATTAGTTTTGAAAGACATCAAAGCAATCATATCGGCGGTTTATGGTTGTACTCCTTGTTCTAGAACCAGAAAAAGCAACTCCATCAAAGCAGAAGGGAAAGGAACTTCGCTTGAAGGATGCTGCGAAAAAAAGGAAACTTACGGCGGAAAAAGAAGTAAATTAAATTGAAGGAAAAAAAAACTTTTGGTTTTTCGATATGGTTTTCATTATCATTCTGTTCGCTAAGTCAACCTCTAATTTTTGTTCTCGGCTATGATGCCAAGTTATTCTTCACTTTTATCTGAAGCAAAATATGAAGTGAGAAAGCTCTGAGCCGAGAGCCTTTTAATAGTGCAGTATAGAAAATTTTTAAGAGTGGGTTCTATACGTTGATTAAGTATTGTGTTGCAGGAAGAGGATGATGATGAGGACGAGGAGGAAGAGGAAGAGGACGAAGACAATGATGAAGAGGAGGAAGATGGAGAGGATGAGGAAGAGGATGAGGGCGAAGATGAAGAAAGCTTGGAGGATGAGGGGGAAGAAGCTGTTGCCTCTCCTCGTAAGATAGTGCTTTTGTTTCTCTGATCAGGGCGAACTTTTACTGAGTGTAGCATACTTATTTGAACTATAATAAACATAGCTTTTTTGTACAGCAAAGCCGGCTAAGGTGACAATGACACCATCAGGGAATAAGAGCGCAATGAAAACGCCAAATACAGCGAAGATTGGAAAGAAGGTTGATATTTCTAAACCCGCTACCCCTGCAAGTACGGCAAAGGTTTGTTTTTCATTTGGTTTCAAACGTTTCTTGAATTTCATAGGAAACAGCGTTTGGGGTTTCGTTTTTCACTTTAAGTAAATTTTTTTTTCATAGAATTTTGCAGACTCCAGCCACTCCCCATCCTATAAAGAAAACTCCAGCGTCTCTGAAGAAAACAGTCCAGCAACTAAAGTTTGGTGATGATGATGAGGAGGAAGATGAGGATGAAGAGGAGGATGAGGACGAGGAGGCAGAGGAGGATGAAGATGAAGACGAAGATGAGGGTGAGGACGAAGAAGAAGACGAGGAAGAAGATGAAGATGAGGAGGAAGACGAAGAAGAGGAGGAGGAGAAAGTATTGCTTTTTTGTTTATTTCGGTCTTAGTTGCCCGCAATGTAGATTGATACGAACTTAGGCGCGAAATAGATGGTGCTTTGGCGATGTATTTTCACAGCAGAAGTCTTTTTAAAGATATTTTTTGCGTTTTGAGTCCACTAATTGTAATTATGCAGTGCTTACAAGAGCTGCCATACATTACTTCTTTTGAGCAGTGTTAGTTTTTGTAACTGAAGCATGATTCAACTATGTTTTATCACTTGGTGGGTAATCTTTCTAATATCAATTTATTAAGTGTTTATTAAATATTCAGGAAGAAGTTACGAAGATAGGGAAGAAAGATAAAAAGGGTATCTCCAAGGGACTTCCTGCGAAAGAAGAAGACAAGGTATTGGTTTAAACACCGGGGAATTTTTAAATTTTTGCGTCATATATTTTGTTTCATTTTTTTTATCAACACGGAGAAATGGGGTTTTATTTCTCCTGGCTTTCTTATTGTATTGCGTTGGATCCCATCTTTTCATTTCTTTTACATTCTGGTTTTAAACGAAGTGGTTATTTTTAGATAGGCAAAGTAAAAGCACTGAAGAGGAAAACCGAGTCCATGGATTCTGTTGCTTCTAAGAAGAGACGTGAGGTCAATGTTACTATGCCTGGTAAGTTGAGGCCAGGAACTGTTGGGACGGCGGTAGAGGAGAAAAAAGATGAGGCTGTTCGTGCAACACCCGCCGGGAAGGTTGTTAATTTTTTCGTCTCAAAGGGATTTTCTGTGAAGGGATTAGTTTAAATGCTCTGTTTTTAGGTTGTTTTTGAACATGTTTTTTTTTTTTTTTCAAAGTTCGTTGCTTTATAGAAATGTCGTTCAGGTTTCAACTTTTTTTTTACTGGTTTTTGTAGCAAAAAGGAACTGTAGATCAAAATACAGCTACAAGGCCGTTAAAACGAAAGGGCGACGATGCGGTTCCTGCCCCTGTTAAATTGCTAAAGGTGTCTACATTTAACTGCGTTTGTTCATTTGATCTTGTTTCAAGGGATTTAGTACGGCTCACAGTTTTTTATAATTTTAAGGAAGCAGATGAAAGAAATGTTGTTGCTGAAGAGCAGCGTCGAATAAAGGAACGTAACGAGAGGACACTGTTTATACATGGTTTTAAAAGAGAGCATGTCCATGATTCTGACCTTAAAAGTTTACACCCTGACATCGTGTCGATTAGGCGTCCCTACAAGAAGAAGTAATTTATGTTTTCATTGTAAGAAGTGGTTAAATTTTGTCTGTTACGCAATTGTGCTTCATTTTTCTGCATTTCCAGTTTCGCTTGGTTAGTGTTTTCGTCTACAGAAGCACTTGAGAAAGCCTATGAACCAATTTCGAAAGCGAAAGTTAAGGGTAGCAGTATCACAGTTGATTACTGTGGTTCGAGAAGTAAGAAAGCAAACGAGGTTAAGCAGTTTAATAAAGGTCCAATTAACCCTTTGGAGCTTTATGTGGCTGGTTTCCCTGCGTCAACTTCGAAGGATGTTATCAAAGTAATATTCCGGTCTGCTAAAAGCATTACCTTCCCTCACAAAGCAACGAATATTCGCCCAACCTCGTGAGTAGTCATTCAGTTCGTTCTTATCTATTCTTGTTTGCCGCTCTCGGATATATGGACTTTGAGTAATGTGGACTTTTCCAGATGAATCGGCACTTTTCACACATCGCCTGTCGTTGTTTCATGTTAAACTTGTGCTTTCATTATGGCTGATTTAGGTTTTGTTTTGTTCAGTTTGGCAATGAGGATGATGCAAAGGCAGCTTTTGAAAAAGGGAAGTCTTTGAAAATAGGTGGCGTTCCAGTTGATGTTTTTTACGCAAGGCTCGGAAATAAAGGTGAGTCTTTCTTAAGTTTGGAGTTGTGTATTGTATACTCGCACTGCTTACCTATTAACAGGCGGGCTGAGTAACATTTGTCGCTTCCATATATATTTCATTGCTTTTTTGGTACTGCTTTAATAATACTTTTGCTTTAATACTTTTCTTTGTTCAAACCTGATGGCTTTTATTTTGATGGAAGTTTTAGTGGATTTGGGAGAAAAAAACATGGGAAAAAAGGGTCAACAAGGTCCGCTAAAAGGGGAGAACAAGTCTGAAGGGCTTAAGAAATCGAAGCTAGCTCTCAATTCAGCAAAGAAGGAGTTGAAATCAAATGAAGATGGAGAACTTGAAATGTCCAGTGATGCAGTTAGCGAGGTTTGTTACAGCTATCATGAATAATTTGTGGCGTATGCAGTTTTGGTACTTAGTTTAGCTTTGATTGATAGAGAAAGTATGTAAGTGAATGAGATTTTTGAGGTGAAGAAGAAGAAGCAGAAGGTTATTGATAAAAAAAAAGAAGAGGCTCGAAGGAAAGAAGAGGAGGAAGATGAAGATGAGGAAGAAGAGGATGAAGATGAAGAAGAAGATATAGATGAGGAAGATGAAGAGGATGAAGAAGATGAAGATAACGAGGAATGAGGTTGCTAATTGTGTTAGCACAGAGTTAACTTTTGGACAAGTCTCTGTTGTTACAAATGTTTAGTTTTTTCGAGTGGGAGTTTCTCAGCGCGATGGTACATGTATTTCTTGTTTCACCTCCATTTTCGTCTTATAACGCAGTGAAAGGTTTTGACTATTTTTTGAAAGCATCTCGTTTCTGTCGTTGCTTAGCGGTCAACTTTTTTAGCGTGTTAAGTGTGGTCGGAGTGAAATGTTAGAGTATTGTTTTTGTCTTGTTGTTTATTGTTGATGTGTGAAACTTCTAATAGATTTTGTTTTTTGTTGAAATTGTTGAATCTTACTTTGTATAAGATTTGATATTGATATATGAAAGAGTTCTTATTGACAGATTGTAGTAAACTTGGGAGTCCCGGCTATTCAATTACTTGTCACGCTTTGAGGACCGGTTGAGAGATTAATCATTTTTTTGTTGGCTGCTATGTTAATTAAGGTATGCGACGATGAGAGGTGGCGGACAGTGTTATTGAAACTGCAGCATTTCGAAAGCTCTTGTTCCATGTCAGTTTTTGTGAGGTTCGGGGGTCATCTGACTGCTTTGCATTGTAGGTGGGTGGCCTGGGATGGTGGGGGCGGTGCAGGCGGTGAACGAGGTTTTTTT